TTCCTTATCAATTACATTTTCTTAGTAAAAAAAGTTTTCTTCCGAACCAAACACTACCCAAGGGCATAAGGGAGTGACATTTTTGAGAATATTCTCTCCCGCTCACTTTGAGAATGTTAAATGGAACAAAGGCGGGAGTTGTGAAAGGTCAAAGCCTTACACTAAGATAGTGTTCCGTAGAGGTTTTTTTAGAAGATAGATAGACATCAGAGATAAGTATTCTTTGTTCTCCACGTTTGGTTCAAAATATTGCAAGATTTTGGCATGAAACACATTTCTCCGTACTTTGACATTTGTGTGTAAAATGAATCAAAAATCATTGTTCAATAAAACCACTCCCAATGTGGCATTGTGAGTTAGATGGCTAAATAGATAAAAGACAACAAAAAATCTGACCATAATACCCTCTTCATCAATTTGTTAGGGTGCGCATGACAACCTTCCCGGAATCAATTTTTTTTTTAATTTCTGTTCCCGGGAACAGAAATAGATAGAAAACCCGTTTGGTAAAACCAGTTTATTTTTTTGTTCCCGGGATGAACCGGATTAATTTTTGTGCTGGAGAACATAAAAAAGAATCAAAAAATTTCTGTTTTTTTGTTCCCGGGCACAAAATGAGAAACACTTATCTCTCTTAATTACTCTTCATCTCTACCATCATTACCACCACCACCATCATCCCAACACGACCACCGCCACCATTGTCGTCGCGGCCGTCGTACCACTAGTGCTGTCGTGAACACCCCCACCACCACGATGCCACCGCTACCATCACCATCACCACCACCTTCACCCATCACTACCACCATGCCACCATCACCACCACCACCACAACTACCACCGCTGCAACCACCACCACCATTATCACCGTCACTGTCACCATCACAATCACCACTACCGCCATCAACCACCACCACCATCATCGCAACCACTGCCGCCATTGCCATCACCACGCCACTGCCACCACCACCACCACCATCATCGCAACCACTGCCGCCACCCTACCATCGCCATCACCACGCCACTGCCACCACCACCATCGCCACCACTACCACCACCACAACGCCACCGCTATCATCACCACCACTGTCACCAACCACCACTATCATTGTTGTAGCCACCACCGACATCGCTGCCGCCACCAACCACCACCACCATCGCCACCACCACGACCACCACTACTGTCACCTACCACCACTGCCACCGCCGCAGCCACTGCCACCACCACCACCTCCATGATGCCATCACAACCACCAGACGATACCACCGCTACCATTGTCGTCGCCACCAACCACCATCTCCACCACCATTGTCGCAGCCACTGCCGTCACCTCAACCACCACCACCCCCACCACTACCACCGTCGCTGCCACCATTACCACCGCCATCGCCGCAGCCACTGTCGTCACAACCACCACCACTATCATCAACACGCCACCACCGCCTTACCGCCGCCGCCGCAACCACCACCACCATGCCACCCTCGCCGCCACCACCACCATAACCACACCATATGGAAAGGAAAGTGATGAACCGAATTTTTTTTACATTTAATGGGTGATGGCGGTATTTTATGGAGGTCAGATCTACAAAAATTCAGGTATTTTATGGAGGTCATATTTTCATATTGTGGAGGTCAAAGACCTCCACAAAAGACATTCGTGACATCCACACCAACCCCCAGTTTTGCCTACGCCACAGCATATTTTGTGGCAGCGTTAACGCCACAATTTGTTGGAGTATTTTCTGATGGTTCAAGACCCCCACAAATGTTATATTATTTTTGAAGGTTTACTAACCTCCACAATATATTTGACTTTTTGTCATTCAAAGACCCCCACACCATTTATCATTTTTTGGAAGGCATAGACTGCTATAATTTGTTTATTATTTTGGCCCTCCACTAAATACTAGTTATCCAAATTTGATAGATTTGTATATCATAAATTTAGAATTGAACCCCATCACTTGATTTGATTTGTTAGCCAATTTATTTTTAGAGCATCCAGTTATTACTTCTCTTCATCTTTTTTCACATTTTTCGAACAGTGACTTGACATAAGGATCAGAATGCATTAATGAAATGTATATATTTCTGATCAAAAAAATTTTAGGATAGAAATGTACCAAGTCATATAAAAACTCTGTAAAGAGAACATACAGAGAAAAAAAAATACGAATCACGTGTTTTTATTTTTATGTGTGTATAAATTGTAACTTTATCTCCTACTAAATGAATGGTATATCGTAAAGAAAGAATCTAATGTCTTTTTAAGGGCAACAGGAGAAGCTATCCATTGTCCAGAGCAAGTTAATGCCACAGCTTACACCATGAAACTTCTCAGGCTCTTGTCCCTGCTCACACTCTTCTTCTCCTTGTTGTTCATCTTCCACACACAAGCAACTAGTATCTCTGTTGGCCCGCTGCAACTGACACATTTCAAATAAATCCAAAACAACCATGTAAAAAAGAAAAAATGGACCTGATATCAGTAAGGATAAATATAGTCAGAGGTGAGTTTAACGAATTTGCACTTCATGATGCCAGCAGGACCACCTCTGAATCCATACAATCATAGCCTTGTAATCAACAATGCCTTTTATAACCTGAAGAAGAGGAAATTAAGTGAGAAAAGAAACAAGAATAAGCTCTAACTACACGCTCAAAGTTGAAACCAAACCATAATGTAGACAAGCATTAGGGAAGAGGGAAAAAAAAACTTTAAAACACATTCCTTCTATAAGGCAATAGAAGACCAACTCACGGATATTAACATGATACCTAATGGGAGGGAAGGGGAAAAAAAGGCGCAAAAAACAAACAAAAACAAAAACTCAGAAGCAGAGGAAGAGTTTTCTGAATCAGCGAAAACAAAAGATAATAAGTTGGCTCGTCCTCTCGAAATGCAAAGATACAATTATTATTAAATAGGAATCAATTTATTATGGTACAATTTTGACGTAACTCAGCAAACTCCCTAATTATACAACATTGCTGTCACTTTCACTATAAAAAAAATTAAAAAGAAAAAGAAATATAATAATACTGATATTAAATTGAAAAATAAAATTAATCCTGACCCAGCCCTCTGAAAAAATAGCTTATCTATGATAAAATGAAGTTATAAGATAAACCATTCATGCCTAAAGACCAAATTAACATTTTAGTTTTATTATCATTATTATTAGTAATAAAAAAGACCAAATTAAAATGTTAATTATGCATCCGATTGGGAAAGGGGCAAAATTATTTCGTTTAGGATTTGTTTGAGTTCTATATTTTAAAAAATCATAATCAGGAAGAACTAGTTCACTATTTATTTATATATTCATACATCAAAGCTCATCATGTTCATCATCGCTTTCCTGATGCCCATCTGCATCAACTGTGTTGTAAAAAATAAATTCATGATCAAGCATCTCCTGGAGTGACAATTTTCCATCTTCATTATCATTAGCCTGCACAAATAGAACCAACAATCTCACATATTCAAAACTACCTTTTCTTTTCTTTTTGTAATTAAAAACTACTGTATATTTATGCAGTTCATGGGCATGTTGAGGTATAAATGAAGAATAGAATCGGAAAATATAAATTGACAATGTAAATAATTATTTACATTGTCAATAAAAAAGTTTAAGTTATTGGGTAATTCTTGTATTAATAATATTATATTTCTCTAACACATCTTCTCAAACAAGAGTTTATTGAACTTGAAAGGATGACAATATATAAATCTATTATCGAATTCGCGGCTACTTAATCACAAAAACTTGATGAGAGAATATTTAAATATGTTATGTGCTTGGCTACATTCCTATTTTTCGCCATTCTCATTTCATTGAATCATTGCCTTCTATTTGTATTCCAATCCCGCAACACACAAACTTTTACAATTCATGAAAAGTAACTAACCTCATTCATTAAATAGCACGTGAAATATTTAGCATAAGCTAGCTCTCCAGGGTAGATGTAAGGAAGTATCGGTATCAAATCTTCAGGTGACAATAACCTACCAAATATATGCTAATGGTAAGTTTAGAACAACAAAAACAACATTCCTTAGCACTAAACCAGTTATACAGCTTATATCAAAGAATGAAAATTCAATTTATAATTGTTGATTCGTAGAAACAAAAACGCACAAAAAATAAATTCTAACTCCGTTCAAGCTAGATTTAGATCCCGCGAGGTTTGGCCTTACCATCTATAAAAACAAAAAATTACATTACTCACAAGCATATTTCAAGACAGATAATGCAAAGAAGTGTGTGATTTAAATAGAGAGATGCTATTTGTTCCAATAGCAAGCCACCAGTCCCTAAAGCAAGAAAAAAATTCACCAATAAAATAATTATTATGAATCAGAGGTCAAATGATAACTTCCATAAACCTTGAGAGAAGAAATCTTGCAAGTGGGCTTAAATTGCTATTTGAATGAAGTTCCTTGTTCTGTTGTTTCTTCTTGTTATCAGGCTCTGTATTTCGGGTTTCTACAATTGAATTGGTTTTGCTGAATATTTGGCTTGCCAGTTCTTGCAGATTCTTCAATGAAGACTCCTTTGAACTGCAAAATTTGTGTTTTAATTTGGGGGTTATAAATTATGATTGTTAAGAGATACACATTAATTTTCCAAAGAATAAGCTCTAAATCAGTTTCCAAAAAGTTTAACAGATCAATCCCAATACTGTCATGAATACCGATTTCGAAGGAAAGCATCACCTTTGTTCCCACACCATCCGTACGGGCAACAAGGTAAGAATCACCTACTAAAAACAAGTTGAATATAAAATTCAAAATCCAAAAGATGAATCGATTATAGAATTAATTTCAATTTTAGTCACAGTCTCTAAAGATATGTGTTGACAATCAAACCTAGATTTTCTGGTTACCTATGCCAACTGAGCTATATTCATTGGATAAATTACACTCTTCCTTTTGGTTTGATTTAGAATTAACATTGTCATCATTTTTTTGGAGAAAATATAAGCAAAAGTTGTCATGTGTAAAAATTGAACAATAAGATAATACATAATTCATCAGTGAAAATAACGAGAATCCAATATGTAAAAACATCAAATAAATTGTCATTTTCACATTTCATCAAACACGATGTCCACAATCAATACACAAAACAGAATTAGAAATATATCTCTCCAGCTTACGATATATGAAAATTCAAATGCAAAACCTAATACCAAACTAATCATATCAACTTACAAGCAGTTGAACTTCTCCACAGCCTTCTCAGCTTCTTCAACGGTACTCAGCGTCAAATGCAAATTCCCAACAAAGAGTTTCACATCTTCAGGTGGTTCAACAAAATCACCTTATCCTTCTTCGCCGCTCTCAGCGTCTTTGCCGTTGGGTTCCCATTCTGAAAGACCCGCTTCAGTTTCATTGAAACCTTCTTCTTCTTCTTCTTCGTCTTCGACGGTGACTGTGTTGTCTTCTTCTTGCTGAGCCCAATCCAAAGTTCGGACCACGATCGTGAGAACAGGAGAACGATGGGTTCTTGAGGTTAGAGAGAGAGAAGATGAAGCTGAAGGAGTGAGGCAAGGGAGCTAAGAAAAATAGGTGTTTGGTTTTGATGCAGAAGAGTGAGTACTGAGTTGTAGTATGAGGAGAGAAGGCACAATCCATCGAAGTTGTAACTGTCAAATAAAATGAAATTTTTTAAGGGTTTTATTTTTCTTACGTTACCTAAGATAAGAGAACACACAAAAAGTGGATGGGATCTACTTTTTTATTTTCTCTCTTCTTTTTTAGTGGGTCTCATTCACTTTTAGTGTGTTGCATGAGACAACTTGTCTCATGCAACATAAGAAAAATAAAACCCTTTTATAAAGTTACAAAAATATTTAAAATTACAAAATATTATGGCAGTCAAAACCTCCCACAAATTACATAATTTGATTAAAATAAAAATATAATGTGGCGTTTATTAAAAGTTCCATAATATATTTTTTTTGGAGGTTTTAATGACCTCCAATAAATAACCTCCACAAATATCATATTTTTTTGTAGTGAGAAATTAACACCACTTTAATGTCGAAGCTTGTTTGTGGCTGTTGACTTAGACTTCACACCACAGTCTCACTGTGCCGGAGACATGCATGCTGACTAGAGAAAGGAGAGACATAGACGAACAGAGATTTGAAAAATATTGACATTGGTAGAAGTCGTGTTAAGATAGACTTACTTAATATGCAATGATTGTTTTTAAAAAAATTAAAAGGGTTATTTTTGTCATTTCAACCCTTTTTTCCATCAATATTTTATATTTAACCAAACATGGACTCTAAAAATTTAAATAAATTTGTCTGGTAATACTTTGGTCAATCAAACAACTTTTTTTAAACTTTTTTATCTAACTTACTTTCAATCATATTCCTAGTAATTGAGTTTTTCCGGTAAAAAAAAAATTTCTCCTCTCATAAACGCTCCCTAAGAAAAAAATAAAGTTTGAAGGGTATATTCTTGAGACATATATGAGTCAAGTGGAGGAGTTCAGAGAAAAGGATGCAAGGAAGAGGGGTTTGAAGTTTTACTATACAACTGAGATTATATTTGTTGCGGAGACCTGATGGACATCTCAATAAATATGTATGGGGACAATCAATGAATCAAACTGTGATACATAATAATTGTGTTCATTGGTGCTTGCCAGGCCCTATTGACACATGAAATGAGTTTTTATTGAAAATGGAAAGTCAGAAATCTTTTATTTCAAAATTACATAGATTGGTATAGGACATAAGGTTTGTCATGTTAAACATATGAAAGATGTTATTTATTATTTTTTTAGGTTGCAAGGGGTACAAAAAGAGGATATTGGGGTTAAGCTAAATGAGTAAATGCATTCGGCTACAATTGATTATTGAATCAATTGATTTTCAAATTGGTCAGTATTCAAGCCCAAATGTGGGGAAAATTTAATATACTCCAGGCCCACCATTTATTCAGTGGTCCCTTTCTATAAATGGAAAATTTTCTTTCATTTCTTCCTTTTCTTTTTTGATTTTTTCTCCCTCTGTCTCTCTCTTTTTTTTTTTTTTTGGAGAGGGACCACCATGGTCCTGGCCCTTAAAAAATCTTCTCCCAAATGTGGCCTTTGCTGGTAAGAACAACGGGGGCAATAACTTCAAGGCATGAGTGCCTTTCACTTTCACAGCCAAGGTTTGATGCTGGGTTGGGTCAGTTTTAGACATTGCAGGTCAGTATGAGGGGATACTCTATAGTCTACATCTATCTAGGGGTGTGCATGGAGCGGTTTATAACCGATTTTAACAAAAACCAAACCGAATCGATTTTAAATAATTTGGTTTTCAAACCGAACCGGTTTTCTTTTTTTTAAACCGGTTTTTAATTTTCAAAACCGATTTATGGTTTATAACCGGTTTTAAACTAGTTTTAATTCAAAACCGGTTTTAAATCAAAACCGGTTATGAACCATAAACCGATTATCAAGTTCAAAATCGGTTTTTGATTAATTGTGTTATTTTTATAAGTAGTCGTTTGTTTCTCCCGGTTATAGGTAGTTGAGTTACATTTCTTGCAAGAATCTTCATTGTTTTGGAACTCTCCGGACCAAATGATTCTTATAGAAATTGTTTCACGTTGTTTTGAGAGCGATTGGTAGAAGAACAATTGAATTATTTTAAAATAAAATTGCTCTTCGTACTCTCAAGATTTATGTTACTAAGAGTTTCATTTGAACTGATAGAGGAAGGTATAGGTAGGGGTGTTCAAAATGTCCAAAAGAATTAAACCAATCCATAACCAAACTGCTTCACATTTTAAAAACCGATTTCACGTGAAACTGCATTTTATTTTTATAAACTAGATATTTACAAAACCATAAAAATAATTGGTTATACATAACAAAACTGCTCTACAATTAAAGAACAAATAAGTAAATTCATTGTGAGTTGTCCTTTTAACGACGTTGATTCATCATCTTAAACATCTCTGAGACGTTAAACCAATTGATTAAATTTGTTGCCCTTTTCGTTATGATTTTTTAACTTCATCTTTGTCATTTCAAAGCCTTGCCTTTGTGAGTTACCTGTATGCCTGTAAATGGTTATTTATTTATTTTTTTGGGAGAAAAAGTTGTTACGCTACATAAAAAGTGCTTTCTTAGTATGCGACATTTCGATTCATGTGTACTTTTTTTTTAAAATAAATATTTTCTATTTGTGCTGCTTAACTTTTTTTGCTAGTTTATTGTTTGAAAGTTTGAGTCAATTGACTAATATAATAGGCATGATAAAAGATAATAATTACGATGCTTGACTTGAATCGGTCTGATGCTTGACTCGAATCGGTACGATGACCGGTTCGCCGTGTTGTGGGTGGACCCAGTTGGGCGCGCCGAGTTTCATAACACTGCTTTGGATGGTGTTTTAGCCTTGAAGATGGCTAATCTAAGGTAGGAACAAACTTGCTCTGGATACCATATTGAAATATAAAAGAATTTTTTTTTTTGAATTGATACAAATAATTTTCACTGACAGAGACATTTATATAAGAAAGAATGAATAAAAATAGATAAAGATGACTCAACAATGAATCATTAGTCCTATCCACTAATTAATAGTAAAAAAAAAACAAAAATATTTTAGTCCTAATTTCCTACGATTACATTCATCTCACAGTTCATAAATACGTGTCAATGATTTCATCTTTGGGAAAATTTGGCTCATATGCAATCTTGTGACAAATTTTTGTGCGCCAATTTTCCAGTTGTTGTTGCCTCTTATGTTTCCTATTCTGCCAATCAAATATCTTTAAGTGTTACTGCAAATTAAATTACAAGAAGATTGCGTTGAACAATACTGGTTGAATTACACTGTATGCTGAAATATACTATCCATAATACATAGTGTAATTTGTAAACAAATTTTTTATAAATATAACTTTCCCCATGTTATGTATACCAAATTTTTAAGATAATAAAACAATAAAAACATACATTCTTTTTATTGTTTTATCCTATAGAATTAAAGTGTAAAGTATAGTAAAAGAATTTTGATGTAGAGATATTTTTCTTGGATAAAAGATGAAAATACAAAAAATTGGGTAAATATCGTATCGCCTTATCCCGTGCAGGCCAATGCTAACTTGAACTTTTGTAGGATGTGGGGTCGATTATGTGGCTGCAAGTATCAACGAAGTAATATTCGAAGTAACGTATTTCCACGTGTATGTGTATATGGCCTCGATCGAATTTAATCTTCCATAAATCTCTTCCAGAACCAGTGTTGTCTCCATACTTTCTCAGTCATCTCTTCAATCGGGATATTCTTTGTCTCTGGAATTAGGAAGATAGTGAATAATGACATGGCAAGCACCCAAGCCGAGAAGAATAAGAAGATCCCGAACTTGAGGTGGCACAACATGGACAAGAAAGCTTGTGCAATGATAAAGGTGAAGAGCATGTTGGTGACCACGGCCACACTTTGTCCGGCTGACCTAGCCTCTAGTGGGAATGTCTCACTGGGAATCAGCCACCCAAGTGGGCCCCAAGACCATGCAAAAGATGCCACGAATGTGCAAACCATGACCACCACCAGCATGGCAATTCCATTGCTCAAGCTATCTGAGTAGTCTTGTACCTTTAACCCAAGTATTATTCCAATCACCATTTGAGACACAAACATTTGAACACCAGCTTCCAACAGGAGCACCCTTCTCCCTGCTTTGTCAACTAAGAACACAGAAACCAATGTGGAGAGAACATTCACAGCTCCTGTGATCACGGCTGAGTACAGTGAAGCATCATGCTGAAATCCCAATGTGTTGAACAACACTGGAGCATAGAACATGATCGCATTGATGCCAGTCATTTGTTGGAAGACCTGTACCAATAGAAAATTCAAAATAACAAAATTAATCAAAACACTAATAATTAACAAATTCTTATATATGTCCGCCCATCACTTGACAATTTAAGCTTATGTATGAGTCAAAATAATATTGTTCGGTTTATGATTAATATTAATGACAAATATGAAAAATAACCAGTAGTGACCTGCAACAAGATGGCAATGATCAAAGGAGGACGGTTGTGGCGCTTTAAGAGGTTGGTGAAGGGGTTCTTGACCTCTTTAGCCACTTTACTAGCTTTAACAATATCATCAAATTCAGGGTCAACATTTTCTACACCACGAATCTTCTTGAGCACAGCCTTTCCTTCATCCTCAAAACCCCTCTCAATAAGACTATTGGGAGTGTCATCCACTATGAGGGCCCCCACTGTTAGCATCAGAGCTGGAATGCCCGCCAATGCCACTGATATCCTCCACCCATATCCACCTTCAATCC